AAAGACTATTGAAAGATTATTGAAAGAGTATTGACAGACTATTGAAATATTATTGAAAGACTATTGAAACATTATTGACAGACTATTGACAGACTGCTCAGTACAGCAGGACAGATTCTCCCAAAAGAACCAGACTGGACTCCAAAATCTTTGAAAACCAACTTCTTCTGAACTTGAACAAGAACTTCTTGCTGCAACATTAAAATGTGTCAGTTCATGATGTTAGGGGACGAGAGATGTCTCCAAATGTCTCGACACTCAGGTCCAAGTTTTAAAAATGTTGTCAGGAAGTTAAAATATTGTTCAATATCGACCCATTACAAGGTTGAATAGACATATTTTAACTAGAGCTGATGACAAACTGCAGTTGAACTGATCAGATGTTTCTTTGTCACTTGTGTCTAATGCTCCTTTTGTTCATCAGACAACTTTTACTTAAACGTGTTTACTGCAGTTTAAAATGACACGTTGGTTTTACTTTGTGTTGAATAAAAACTTTCAAAGGTAAAATTGTTCCTGTTTCTTATTTGATTAATGACATTTAACTCTGCAGGTCATCCCTGAAATTCTGACACAGAATCACAAGTCCAGGTTGAACTGTGTCGCAGAGTAAACAATAAAAACATGTATATCTGCAGCATCGGTCAGTAAAATGGAACGACACTATTAATGTACTACAGAAAATATACATACGGTACTCAGACTTAAAGACATGTAGACCATTACATTATGTAATACATACAGCAAGTACTTTTACTTTTAATACTTTAAGTATTTTAAAAAGCAAGTACTTGTTTATTTTACTTAAGTAAAAATGTTAATGTGGTACTTCTACTTTTACTAGAGTACATTTTTGTCAGTCTGTACTTTTACTTAAGTACAGAGTTTGAGTACTTCCTCCACTGAGAGCTGTTGTACTTGAGTTGATATCAGGGACAGATGCACCTGAGAGCAGCTTCTCACACTTTGCTCTTGTCCTCAAAATACTTTCAGATGGAGCCGTGAGCTGTGCGTCCAAACACGAGCCAGCAGTCGGACATCTCAACATGTCCCGTCATCGTGGACCAACGTCCCACGGAGACATCTCAGCATGTCCCGTGATTGTGGACCAACGTCCCACAGACACATCTCAGCATGTCCCGTCATC